TTTAAGAGAGCTTTCTTTGAACCCATGACTTAAACATCTCTAAGTATAATAGAATATTCACATCTCCAAGTTCAAATTATTTTTTAAAATGAAATAAAAGTGATTTTCCGTTACGAAAGAAGAATAAAAAGGAAGACGTCAATAGGTTGACATTAATTTATTTTGTTGCCATACTAAACAAAAATTCAAACTCATTCACCCGAGAAACTCAGTGTGGATGTGATTTGTTTACCCTCACTTTTCCTCATTGTTCTTTACTGGGGCAGGAATCACGTTCCTCCTTGTTCACCGCAAACCACAGGAAAAATTCTCTACACTTTCTAAGCATTGAATTCCAAAATACACATAAAGTTGAACATTTCGATGTGATAGGAGTATGCGGATGACCATACACTTTCAATGTTAAATCGTTTCATCTTCACCCATCTCTCTCCCTCTCAATGAAAGAGAAGAAAATCATCGAAGTCCTGTTGTTAGTTGAGCCACAGACCATGCACCGCCTTGATCAAGTATGTTCACGCGGTTTTCTACCTAAACAATTGTTGGCGTACGGTGAAGTGAATGGTGAATTAACTTCAGAATAACCATGTTTCTTAATATAACGCAACAGTACAACTCATTAAGGCATTAAGCATCGGCAACGTTTTTAAATAAAATTTAAAAAAGAAAGAAAGAAAGAAAGAAAACTAGAGCTCTTCTAGTTCACTACAAAATCAGTCAGGTCAACTGGACAAGAATTTGTATATTGTTCTAAATCAGGAGCGATTTATGTCTCATGGTACATAGCGCTCATCATGATACGCCACCAATAAGCACTGACTTCTCATCCTGCTTTAATCAAATTCCCTTCAAAGACAATGCCGTGCTTACCACGAGATCCAAATCAACTCAAACTGACACCCCCTCCTGAATACTCCACCTCCTGATCATGAAAGCAAAAGCAGGGTTAGAATACAAAAACAAGCAACTACACTTGGGTAAATCCACAGCATCACAATCACGAAAATGATGGGACCAATAATGCAGTCCTTAAATGAGTAATAAAATAGAGAGAGTTGGTGTGGTGAGCTGGTATCCAACTAAATTTATATTTTCAACGTCGCCCATCTGCCTCAGATCGGAAAGCAAATTATATCTATGATCTATAAAGTTGACATAGTAAAAGCAAAAGCATCTTTGTCTCTGCTCTCGACCTAACAAGTAGTAGATCTAGCTACTTTGCACCTAGTCATTTAAAAATAACTGTCCAAGTTAATCTCCGATAACTTTCACAGCCTCAAGAAGACCAACATGCTTCAAATAGGTGCGATACATTAACATCATCTTTATCCTAGAATCCTAACTAAATTCAACAATTTGCTGACAATCTGATAATATCTTCACGGTGACTTATTAAGAGGAAAAATAAAACGAGATCTCTTTTATCAATTAAAATTTACAAGAGTGGGGAATTGAACCAGATGTAAATAAGACAAGAAAGGAAAATATCTTAAATTACCCATTCCCCCAATTGCTTTCAAGACAGCAATATGACGCTTCTAGCTTCTACGGTTTATGTTTCGGTCAACAAATATTTTAAAATTACTTCAATAGAAGTAATAGACAATTAACTTTCTTTATGAAAACGAAAATCCAACCTGAGCAGGTGGCAAGGATGAGACCCAGTCTGAAGCATGTGTAGGAAGAAGGCCCAGGGAGTTAAGCTGCACAAGGTATTGACATAATTTGCATGAGGAAAACATGGAGACACAACATACTCAAAAGTTACGTAAAACTAATATAATCCCCTTGAAATGTTGCCTAAGTACTATTTTGTGCACAAACTTTAAAATATAAATTTTATCTCCTTATGCAGTTATAGTATAACAAAAAGGGAAGATATTACATATAAGTTAAAAGAAACTTTTAAAAGCCAAGTGACTGTCCCATGATATCTTAAGCAAGAGAGGAAATTCGAAAAGAAGATGGGAAAACAAAGTATCACACGACCCAAAAAAAAAATAGTATCATACGACAGTCATGTTGCTTTCAGAAGTTGGTTTCATCTTGCAGGTAAAAGTTCTCTATTTTTGCAATAATCTAGAAGGATGTGAACCAAAGTGGTAATTATGCTATAGTTCAAGGAGATTACATGCGTCTTCTCCTAAAAATTACTAGGAAGAGGATGAAAACTTCAAGGGACAAGTCTATATATATTACCTTCCAAACACCTAGGGCCAAGCCCCCCAAATTAAGGGCTATGAAAAGCAACTTAGGTCCAAGAAGATCCACTTTATGGTCTTTGTACGGCTCAAAAACTGCATCAAATGCACATCTCATTAATGAGCTCAGAACAATCTAAACTGCTCCAGGTGGTGTTTCGTACAAAACATAAATCACAAACCATTAGAAGGTTGCAACTTGGAAGCAGAAACGCGGGTCAATATAGCAGAACATGCAACCAATGTGAGAATTGGGCTCACCACTTCTTGGTGTAAGACGGGCAAGCCCCAAAAGTCCAAGAAGCAATACCAGAAAATAAAACTTAAAGGAGCGGAGCAGAGTTGATAAGCCATTAGAGCATCAATAAAATATCCACTCAATTTCTAATCGTTAAGCACCAGTGTATAGGAAGTAGGGTCTTTGAGATTAATTATACAAAAATCAACATGGTTTCAATCATCAATAGATTTATTTCCAGTAATAATTTGACCCACTAGCAGTTGACAGCAGCATACAATAAGTCTGAAATTCAGTGACGCCAATTCTTAGCTAGAAAAATACTTTCAGGCTCAATGGAGATGACATTGACAATGGCAACTCGATGTGCAAATTTTCTGCACATAATTAGCAACATGCACAGGACTGGGAGAACAAAATGGTGATTTCATAGGGCATGGACGTCAGAAATTCGGAGTCAGATATTCACAACGAATTTGAATCACATAAATGCTACTCTTGTATCTCTTAAGCCTTAAATATCAATTTTATATTACATTGGTAGTATTTATAACGATTGCATTATACATTTGAAACTTAAACCATAAACAAAAAGCAATGTTCAGACAGAGGCATAGTGGCTTAAGAATTCTATAACTTTTTTGGGCACAGAGTAAAACATCTTACTCTTTCCAACCCCTTGTAATGCGCTTATTGGTTGCCAAAGAGCTGAAAAGGTGATACCAATGCTAAACAAGTGAACCGTGTTACCAGCCATCCACATCATGAAGCCCATCATCAGTAAGTTCTTAAATGGCGCTTGTGCCACTTCCCACGCTTTCTGTTAGCAAAATATCGAAGATCTGAACTTAAGACTGCAGTCAATCCAGTACATAGAACTAACAATACATGCATACCCTAAAAATATAAATGAAAACTCTAGTCAGGGCAAACAGTCTTTGGGGGGAGGGGGCATAAATTTTGCATCTCTTTTGTCCTTGCTTTAATGAGTTCCGTGATCTAATCTTACTGTTTTCCACTGCAAAAATAAACATGATGACACTTCATGGATGAAGCTAACACGCTCTCCATGTATGTGGTTTAGAATTAATGAATTACACACTTTAACATCGATGTAAAAAAATTAAAAAAGAAACTCGATTTATAAAATATAGTGAATCAAGAGATTATTATGATGATTCCAAACACAAACATGTTTACCAAATAATGTTACCTGGGCTTTCCAGTTGGATTCTGCGTCCTTCTTTTGACGACTCAAAGAGGAATCATCCTGTGAGAAGAAAAGAAGAGAGGTAACCCCAAAATCGAATTGAATCAAGCGTCACGATACAGGGAGATAGGAATAGAACCTGGTCTATGGAAGCGCGAGAAAAACCAGGAGGATCCGGAACGTCACGAGAAGAATGAGAAGTAGAATTATCGGTGAAGTCAACGGCCCATCGTCGTCCCCCGCCTCCCATCACTCCCTTTCCCTTTTCCATCAGTAGATTTGCTCGCAACTGTCCGACTAGGCCTCGCCGTCGCAGAAGATGCTGTTCGCGCTAGAGCGTAAACGGCACCGCGTGTGTAGCAGAAATAAATAAGGCGAATATCATCCGTACAAATTCATATGGAATATCAATATCAATATTAAACATAAATTGTAATTGTATGACTTTTTTTTAGATCTTTTTATTCAACTTTTTCACAGATTTTATATCATGTACGATAGTACACTTAATTATTAGATATAAAAAAGTTAATATTAATAACTATAAAAATGTCTTTTTAATTTTTTTTAAAAATATCATATTTAAAATCATTTAAAATCAGAAAGGGTTTGCTTTGGCCTTGTAAAACTCCAATAACTTTGTATCTCAAATTTATAAACATAAATTAGACATTAAAAAAGCTTCCCATCAAAAAGTAATTTCCTGTATAAATTATTAAAAGGAGTACTTAAAAAAAATCAATATAAGTTTTTTATTGATAACTTAATTTTTTTTAATTTCTCCAAAATACACATCACGGCACCAGGTTGATGCTCAACTTGATTGATTTGATCAGATCTCTGTACAGCCTAGTGTTTCATTATAATGATGCAAGAACAGCATTTTAGGAATTCTCCAATTTACAGATCATTTAAATGGTTTTCTTGTTTAAAAGAGAGAAGGGAAAAATATTTTGGATCCAAAGAAAAAAAAACATAAAATACTACTTCTAATTTTTAATATAAAAAGTAGATAACTAAGTTATAAATATAAAGAAAATTAGTTAAGTTAATCATTTGTAATGAGTAATTGTTGCTTTTTTCAAAATACCTTTATTAATTATGTATACTATAATAGAAACACATGATTACTACTTTAGAGAAAAATGAATAAATATAAAAAACAAAATGAATTAACATCTTATATTTAGAATTAAATTGAATTTGTAACTAACTCTTATATGTAAGACAAGAGATAGTACCATAATTTAGGGACTGCCAAGAATGGAAACCTCTGGCCCCTTGAGGGTTTCATTAGCTCTCATTTCAAGCAGCAGGGAAGTTAAACTAAAAATTAAATGCATCCATGAACTGAATTTATAAAAGAACAAGACAGCCAAAACTGTATTATTTTGCAATGAGCATTCCCAAACAATACACGCAGAGGGCGGAGGAAAACAAACGTATTTTGGCCCGCGAGTCCTGCATCTTCTCCGCCTTATACCTCTCCTTTTCAGAAAACTGGTTTTAAAAAGAAACAAAAGCCTAACTGTAATGTTAAGCTGTACAAGAATAATGAGATAGGAAACTTCTTTGTCTGACAAGCTCGTGAAGGTCGTGAACAATTTTGAACACAGCATCTGGTCTCGCTAGCCTCAGTGCATTTTGCGACATTAACTTCAGCTCCTCAGCTTTTGGACCAAACCAATCAGCAACTATTTTTGCTATTTCCTTTGGTGATTTAGAGAACTTCCCACATCCATTTTCAACAACATAGGGCACGTTCCCAGCTTCCTGTAACCAAACAAAACTGTCGTAAATTACTGTTTCCGGGTCTTGTGTGGCAGAGTGCTGACTCACTCGCAATATTTAGTTATGTACGTTACAGGTGACAGCAGCCACCTCTATTCCTTATCAAAAATACTCACTCCGACTCTCAAATATTAAGAAAAGTAGTTGACATCAGTAGGACCTCTTAACTTTGTCACAAATGAAACTAATTTTCCAGAAGTGCTCTTCATTTAATCCTCTAATCTCAATTTAATAATAGGTAATTAATTCTCCAATTTTAAATACACGAGTGCCTCACGAAGACGGATATTATTCTTTAATGATGGACAGAAGTGGGAGAAAATATTTACTTCACCAGACATAACCTACCTATTTCTTATATTTTGGACCAAAACAACCCCCTGAAATGTCCCTATACAAGAATGGAGGAAGAATGGTGGATTTTGTGTTTTGTCCCAAGTCTTGTAGCCACTGAAGTTTCAAAACCCAGCCTCAAATTTACAGTTCAGCAAATTAACAAAGTTGAGGCAGCTGGATAACTTAGGACTTGTTTATAGTAGCTTATAAATAGCTTTTCAATCGTTATTTACAGAACACAAGGTAAGTATCTGAGGGAGGTTTTATCTTGGCTTATGTGAAAATACTTATAAGCTCTTCAAATAAGCAGATGCAAATAAGCCCTAGTCATTCCCAAGGTTAACGAAACATACTGAGAAGCAAAGTACCTGCCCGGCGATATAGTCATTCAAAATTATGGGAAGGCCTCGAATCATGGCCTCTGCAATTGTCCCAGGGCCTGCCTGCAAAAGCAGGAAAAGAATATGAAAATTATGTGCTGTTGTTAAATGGAAGTAAAAAGATTAGTCATTACCTTTGTAATGATGCAATCACAAGCTCCCATGCATTCTTCCATTTTAGTGACGAATCCTTTGACCTAAATGGTGTAAAGATTAAAACAATAAAAAATCAGCAGCTGCTATGAACACCAACATACGTATAGATTATTTGCTTTGTTTATCAAATGTCTCCAACCTTATGCATCAATTTACGGACAGAAAATTGACTTGGAAGTTTTAAAACCCAGATGCGGAGAGATAGACTCATACTCGAAGCTTATTAATGACAAAGATTCAGTTGAGTGACTTTGAAATATTAGACATACTGAATGCAAAAGCCAATGATGCAAGAACCAAAAAACTTCACCATAAAATAATAAGTGTCAATTGCACAAGTTCTTGATAAAATATAAACGGAATCTCTTGGCTGAAAAAATAAATGGAACCCTCCACAAGTATGTTTCTTTCAGCAGTTAGCCAGTTGAGGACTACTTTGGGAGTATTTGAATGAAACCAAACCATGGTTTGGAAAATAGCTTCTGGAGAATAGATTTTAGAGAGAATAGATTTTGTAAAAAAGTAATTCTAAGAAGTGAGAGTGTTTGGATAGTTGTTATCAGAAACACTTTTTATATATACAAATTACTAAAAAAAAACATAAGTTAATATGATAATTACATAAAAATAGATTTTATGATATATTTTAATTTGAAAGAATAAAATATATTTTTAATAATATATTTTTTACCAACATAATTAATAATACATAAGATAATATAATTAATAAATAATTAATATGTATATATATTTATAAGATATAAGATTAAATATGTTTATAAAAAAATAATTGAGGGATGTTAAAATCATATTATTGTTAGAAATGTATTCTAACAGACACAATTGTACTATCCAATTTGAGCTAGAAGCAGAATGGATTCACTTTTCCTAAAACCATCGTTTTAGGCTCCAAAACCATAGTTTTGGCCCAAATCATAGTTTCAGATTATTTTCCCAAAATTGATATTGTTTGGGTGTCATCCCACCCAAATCATGGTTTTGCCTCCCAAACTATGATTTTGAGGGGCACCCAAACAGGCCCAAATGCTATGAGTAATAAGGCTCCATGTGGTGTCCTTGATGGAGATGGAAAAGGATTGCACTGCATTAAATTCGAGTTGTGTAATCCATAAATTACTTTTTGCATTGTATCCCCCCTTCCATACCACACTGGACTAAACAGGACCTTAAATCTTCATTAATAGTTTCTTCAATCTATTTTCTAGGAGTGTCACTTATCTTTTTCCATTTTCCTACAAATTTTCTCCCCCGGGATAAATGTCAGACATACACGTTATTTGCCAAATCATGATTAGTTCCTGTGTCCCAGTAAAACGTCAAAAATACTAACTAGTCGGTGAGATAATTTAAAGAAACAATTTTAAAAAAAAAAAAGAAGAAGAAAAACTTCCCCATTTTTTCTTTCAAAGAATGTTATGCAAATAACAGACAGACACTAGTTGAAATCGCCATCCACCTTACATAAGAATAGGTTGCAAAAAGAGCTTTCAGCATATGTCATGACGAAACAAATCCAGCAGGGGGAGTTGGACGGAGGGAGAGAGCAAGCATGAGCATTTAGAGCCAAAAATTCATGGGACTGATAAAGTAGAAACAAGCTTAGGAAAGATCTTAAACGAATCAATACCTGCACAGGAACCTTCCAATCAATTGAGAGCAATTTGTTAGTTAGCTTCTTGTTGCGACCGCAAATCACAAGAATTTGACCTATCGCGCCACCAAGATTCTCATCATACAACAAATCTCCAAGAGCCCGAGCAGTAGCCTCAATAGGGCCCATACCTTCTCCGCCTCCCATTAATAGTACAGCAGGCAGATCCTCATCCATGCCTAATTCCCTCTTTAGTTCATCCTACAGCATAAATTAAAGGGGCCAAAGATGGTTAGGGAAACACCTGATTTAACAACCACATTGCCACTGTTAGGTATTCTTGTGACTGCATATTCAAAAAAGTTCACACTTTCACAGAAATTTGTTTGAACTGAATTTTGCACAACAATAAAACATATGTAGGATAAAGATCATTCAGGTCGGGCTAAAAAGAAAGCCAATGAACATGCTGTCTGGACCTAGACTTTTTTAATTAGGCAAAATAGAAGCCTGCTTATGCATTAAATTAGCTTCAATCATCAGGAATTGCTTACAGTAGGGTACCACAAGTTACTGTACTTCTGGATGGGCTGTAGTAATAGAATTTTATCCCTTTGAACAATTGGTCTTAGAGCCGTCCAGAAAATTCTAAAGCCTGATGCAGCTTAAATTACTCGACTCATTACTGTGACTGCATAATTCTAGTATCCAATCTCAATCCATCTGACAATCAAATTAAGGATACTTGAGGAAAATATACATGACACTACATAACAACCTCAAGTCTTGTGAGCGAATCAGCTATCCAAATTAATATATCCCTATATGAACATAACAAACCTTTGGACGAACAGGCTTAACAAAGGACGGCCGTACAGGTAAGCCATAAATCTTTATTTGAGATGGCTGGAGCCCAGCCCTCTGTGCTCTTTTTGCAACTTCTGTTGATGGACAATAGCATCTTGTTACAAGCTTATGAAACCTGAATATACAATGAATAAGATGTCAAAACCAAACTATTCATGTAGTGTTTGAGTAAAAATATGAAAATGGCAGAACTGACCATGTAGGATGGCATGTGCTTAAATCTGTGACAACTGTGGTAAAAACAATCTTCTTTAAAAGACCCTTTGACCTCAATATACGCAGTGGAACATGTTGCATCAGTGGATGCACACTGATTATAATATCCGGCTGGTATTTCATTAGCCCTTTGGCGACCTCACTGTAAAAGATGATAGGATAATCATCATTGATGTGCGAATTCAGCGTAAAGGTCCTCAATGTCGTTTACATTGAAGTGACAAGACGAAAAATAAACCATAAATTGTTATTCAAAGGTAAGTACGGTCTCACCGAGCTATGAATGTTGAAGTTGCAGCGAAGTTTGACTGATGAACTACCCGCGGGGCAGTTCCATAGTACGTCATTTTCCATAGTGGCCCATGTTTTACCAAAAAACTGTAACTCCTAGGAAGTTGATTGAATGGCCAAGGCGTATGATCAGACCATAAATCAGTAACAAAAACCTGTAAATGAACTCCTGGTTGAGAAGATAATATAAAAGAAACAAATATACATTACATAGACCCATACATATAGTAAAGAAACAAAAACAAGAAGTCAAACAAACAACCTGGTAATCATCCCCAAATTCTTCATGAAAAGCCGCCTTGATGGCTTCTGCAGAAGCTCGATGGCCCCCACCAGTGTCACTCATCAAAATTAGAACCTTTTTGGGGTTCTCAGCCTCTGCCCCATTCAGTGGTAATCTATCATCCTCCAGAACACCGCACCCATCTTCTCTCAGGACATTATTATCCCCAGAACCATTATCCCCCGAATCAATTCGAAGCGAAGCAAACCCAATTGGGATTTTCTCGCAATGAAACCTAACAGCTCTGTTGAAGTCATTGAATATTTTACGAAAAAAACTTCCTCTACCTCCTAACCTAAGTGAAACGGCCGGTCTTTGCTTTCTTCCCTTAACTGCGCCCCTTACGCTATTGAAGGACAAGAAATTTGATAAAGACGAAGCACGGATATCTGACCCCGAGTTTTGAAACCTCGAATCAAACGCAAATCTTCCAAATTGGGAAACAAAATCAAGAACTAAACTGGGTTCTTGCGTCACAGTCGAAGGTTGATGCATGACTGTTTAATTTCTGAAGAGTTGAAGAGAATAAATATCTTAAGTCATTGTGAGCACTGTAACCAAATAAAAGGAAGACTTCCCCCAAAATGGAGCAAGCGTGTACATTATGCTCCAGTGAATAAAAAGTTGTGTTATGAAATGGAATGGAATCGCAATGGAAGGATTGAATGAAAAATACGGGGAGTGTTCAGCTGAAACAAATAAAGAAGGTTGAAACCTTGGAGAAGAGTTAGGACGGAGAGTAAGAGAAGATTCGGGGCTTCCTACGTAATATACCGGGAAACGGCCAAGCTTGGAGGCAGAGCCTAGAGGGGTTTGCCTCCGTTGATTGGTTTGGGTTTTGCTTCGACAATCGACACCGACCAGCGGTTTCTGCCTCGCCGCACATGTTGGTTGTGGGGCCGCTCCACTTCACGCAAATATCAAGTGGACCGATAACTAACTGACACGTCAGACGGCTCCTGGGAGGATAGTCAAAACGTCATCTCGCCTTGGTTAAGGGATTTTTTTCAATAAAAATTAAAACCAACGTAATTTTTGATTGGGAAAATAGCAAATAAAGACCTTCGAAAATATAAAATGGCAATTTGGATCCTTCAATTCACAAAATAACTATCAGAGACCGGGTCCTAAATTGCAATTATAAAATGTAGGAGAAAAGTCAAAAATGTCATTCCCTTTCTCTTCCTTCCGTCTCATCCCCTCCCTCTTTTTCTTTCTTCTCTTGCTCTCTCTCTCTCTTCGTCCTTCTTTTTGCTGCTGCTGAATCAAGATCAAAGTATTGCATTCTAGTCCTCACCTCAGCCACGTCTCTCACTTTAGAATTTACAGGGAGAGAAAGGCGCTGCTATGTTCTAATTCTTCCACCATAGCTCAAAACCCTATCTCCATTTCCATCTTCCATAGCCACAAACCTGGTGCGGCGAAGAAGGATCTGTACCTTAGAATATTTGGTAAAGTTTCAGCTTGTACTATTATCTCTCTTGTAACAAAATAATATTGCGATGGTTTGTTGGATTTTGAATAGAAAATCTACTTTGAAATTATTATTCCTTGTCTCGGAGAGAGAAGGAACAGTGTAGCAAAGCATGTTGGAGCATTGTTTTATGCTTGTTTAAGATTATGTGTAATGCTTACATAGTGTGATATTCTGCCCCTGCTTGAACTAAGTACCAAATCTGCAACATTATTTGATTCATCTTTTATCACCTTGGATATATCAGAACATTATCAATTCATTATGTTTTTCTACTGTCTAAAACAGGGCTTTATGCATATCTAATAATTATCTTACCATAACTTATGAAAACTATACCAAAAACTTGAAGATACTTACGCCTTATCCTTGCTTACATTCATTTTGAATTCCTCCTTCTTTTTTTACTTTGTCTTTGGTATTGTCTTTATGAGTCAGGTAGTTATGGAGGAAATCAAGAAATGAAAATTCATGATTAACTTTCATTAGTCAATTTATCGGTTTCATGGAGAAAGTCAAAGGCTATTTTAATGTGTATGTGTCTTTTTATATATAGTTTGAAATTTTTTGTGTGTACATACCTAGAAAACATACCAAGATCATATTGGATTTTGCCTTGCGTACAAGACAATTCTTCCAAATGGAACAAGGTGTCAAGAAATTCTTTAAGGACTATGGTTAGATTAGGAAATACATTTCAATTTGATGGTGACAAGTTCATAATCTACTCCTCCTTAAAGAATGAAAGCTTGGATGATTCATTGCCTGTGAATGAGGAAGGGAAGTCAACTTTATGATGGAATGTAAGACTCAAGATTGCATGAGGTGCAGCTCGTAATTAGTTTTCTTGTACAAGGGGTTCAACTCACTGAACTTGTCATTAATCTTACTAAACTTGTCATTTACTGCTTATCAGAAGTAGTTGCTGTCAGAAATCTGCAAATTTTAATTTCAACAGAGAAATTTGAAATTGTATGAAACCTTATGGGAACTTGTTATTTGCTATATTCAATTTGTCATTTGTCATAGTAAACTTGTTACTTCGTAAATCAATATAAAAATTCAGTCATTTTTATAGAAATTTGAAATTGTGTGAAAACCTGATGGGAACTTGTCATTTGCAAAACTCAACTTATCATTTGCTATAGTAAACTTGTCACTTCGTAAGTCAATATGAAAATTCAGTCATTTTAACGAAGAAATTTGAAATTATATGAAAATCTCATGGGAACTTGTCATTGTCATACTCAACTTGTTATTTGCCATAGTAAACTTGTCACTTCATAAATCAATGTGAAAATTCATTCATTTTTTAAAATTGTATGAAAACCTTATGGGGACTTGTCATTTGCCAAACTCAACTTGTTATTTGCCATAGTAAACTTGTCACTTCGTAAATCAATGTAGAAATTCAGTCATTTTAATGGAGAAATTTGAAATTGTATGAAAACCTTATAGGAACTTGTCATTTGCCAAACTCAACTTGTTATTTGCCATAGTAAACTTGTCACTTCGTAAATCAATGTAGAAATCCAGTCATTTTAATGGAGAAATTTGAAATTGTATGAAAACCTTATGGGAACTTGTCATTTGTCAAATTCAACTTGTCATCTGCCATAGTAAACTTGTCATTTCATAATCAATATGAAAATTCAGTCATTTTAACAGAGAAATTTGAAATTATATGAAAACCTTATGAGAAACTTGTCATTTACCATACTCAGCTTGTCATTTGTCATAGTGAACTTATCACTTCTGATAAGGTTTTTATACAAGTTTACATTTCTCTTTGTAAATGATAATTCTAGAATTCTTTGACAACAACCAGTTTTTACAATGAAATGAGGTAATAGTTGTTAATTCGAGTATATCAGTAGGAGATGAGATTGTAGAATAAAGAGAGATTATGGAGAATGAGAGCTTTTATATGAAGAGTACTATATTAGGCTATTAGCATTACATGTTTTGCAAAAAATTAAATATGGAAGTTACATGGTTAACATGTTTTTATTTTTCCCATTGCAAATCAATGGGTTGGAAAAAAACATGGAAGAACGTCACGGTTCTGGAGAAGAAAGAACGAAGTCGAAGGAGAGTAGAAGAAGGAAAGAGAAGAAAGAGGGGTGAGAAGAGAGAAAGGAAGTCAGAAAATTTACATTTCTAATATATAAAGAGAGAACGAGAGGGGGAGAGGAGAGTAGGAGAGAGAGAGAGGAAAGAGAAGAAGGAAAGAGAAAGAAATGGGGTGCTGGAAGAAAGAAAAGGAAGGGCATTTAGTCATTTGGGCTTCATTTCATAATTGCAATCTAGGACCCGGTCTCTGATAGCAATTTTATGAATTGAAGTACCCAAATTGCCATTTTATATTTTCAAGGGTCTTTATTTGCCATTTCCCCTTTTTGATTCCCCAAGTTTATTTGATCTATCAAATTTTAAATTATATATTCTAATTTTTCAAGAAGTAAGATAATTTAAGTTTTTACTGAATTATAGAAGCTAATATTTTACATAAAAAAAACTTGATGGACCAAAACATATAATTTAAAACTTTAAAAAATAAAATCAAAATAAGAGTAAATTTACAGAATTAAAAATTGTATTAACCCAAAAAATAATGGTAACAATCATAACAACAACAATAATATATAATGTCTCAGATCTTACAAAACAAATGCTTAATAATTTTTTGAATATAATTTTTTTGTTTTTTCCAAAATTTCAGGATACTTCCGTATTAACCATTTGAATAAACTGTATTTATTTTTTATTACAACTTTAAAACATGTGCAAATCATATTGTTCACACTAGTCGCAGTGATGCTCCGTATGCTATGCGCTTTATATTTGACTAGATTTTAGATCTCTTTTGTGCGTGCGTGTATTATTTTAAGAAAATAGAATATAATGCCTATCGAATTCGAACGACCAATAAAAAAAATGTGGGAGAAGAAAAGCAAGACTGATGTTGGAGAATTGACAGTTATAATTCAGGGGACGATAAGAATAGGTCAGCCATGTGTTCCATTTTCCGGCCAGCCAAATCACGTGCTCATTATGGACATTATGGAATAAATGAAAGCTTGGACGGCATTCATGTGATTTACGTGCGAGTCTCTGCTTCTCTTACGACGCGTGGATCACGCTGCGTATTCTAATTAAGATCAACAAGTTATTAGAAAACAAAAATTAAAAACACGAGAAAGTGGACTCCTTTGGGAAGCAGCCCTTGTGCAGCGCATGTGTACTCTGTATATGGCTCACCGGCCCAATTCTACCTGGGATTTCAATTTATAATCCTATGCTCTTGTTTAATGTCATAATATGTGTCCAATAATAAATTTACTTGCTCCTGTTTAATCTTGTAATTTTGTTCACATTTCACCAATGACAATATTTGAGTAAATTTACAAACAATTCTCTCGTTGATAGAGAAGTTGCTTTTCAAACTACTAAAACAAAAGGAAGTAAAATAATGCAACAGGAGCTTGACTTGAACATGACTTGAACGGAGGGACAATAGTTCCACTTACAATCATAATAATATGGGATGGATAATTTTTCTATTAAAAGTTAAATTCATTCAAAAAATAAAATGAATACATTAAAAGGCCAACCCATTATATTTGGATAATTTAAGCAGCTCAAATTACCTAAATGATCAGGCCAGCCCAGAACAATAAAGACAGAAATCCAATAACACAATATGCAAAGAAAAAAGCTAATAGTAAAAAATTGAAAAGCAAAATGTCCACAAGCAACGAAGCTCCTGACAAGCTCATGTTTTTCTTGAGCAAGCCTGAAGCCAAAGCTTTTGATCACACCGAAAAGGAAGTTCTGTCGATCAAGGACTTTCTGTGAGTGAAGAATTGTTTGAAACTATTGAGACACGTCACCACAAGACTCTAGAGCAAGTAAAAGCTGTGCCGTATGAAGTATTGAAATCTTGTTGTGTGTGTTATAATGTGCAAAGCATGTCGCCTACAAAGAATTAGTTACCTTGAAAGACATATCGAAGCTTGTGCGAAAACAAGATGCTGACAACAACAATACAACAAATAGAAAGTAAAAAAGATTCCAAAAATTAGAAGGAAGCGGCACCGCAAGATGGACTTCTAAGTGACTGCTGATGAACTTAAGAGGTCCCCAATAAAATCATGCATATGTGTGGAGTTTTTTGGGAAGCTCTGCCAAAACCTTGATCATGATCACGAGGCATATCCCGCAGATGCTTTTTTGAAAACCAACAGTGCTCCGTGTTAAGAAAGCAGAGCACCATGTTCAAAACTGCTTGCTAAAGGAATCTAGAGCGGGGAGCATTAGAATTAGAAGGCTCATGATTTGAAGTACCAAGTTTAATTTCGCTTAGTACTAATGCCAAGTTGAGACACAGCCTTTCGCTCTCAATCAAAGGTGAAAAAGGCACATCAAAATCAACACAGGCTGAAGACTCAATAGGATCATTAGATAAAGGAATCCAATCCGAAGAATAGCCCAGGTTATTACACCATCTGTGTCAAGAAACTAAGGCCTAGAACTTAAACCCAATATTTCTATTAGGAAAATAGAAATCATTGGCCCATCTAAGATGTCCAGAGCGCGGCCGACTTGTTGAACCCAAACCGACTTACCAGCTGCCTTTGCATACCGCATCCGGGGAGACCGACGCCCACGCACTGCTGGCAGCACCGCCCGATGTTCTCGACCAGAACTGAAATTGGTACTTTAACCCTAGAGTTGAGATGAAAATAAAGAGCATTAATGTATCAGTTTCAATTACAAACAAGCACCCTAAATTGAAGGCTACTGGGGAAATGAAAGAACAATGAATCAAACTCAACAAACGAACCTAATAGCCCACTAATATGCCAAGCCACCTCCCTAGTGTAGAAGGAAGGAATCTGTACCCAGGATGAGAAGGAAAGAAAAGCGATCATGCTGATGGGCGCTTCTAAAAACCATTCAAACACTGTCAAAGTAAGAACTTGGAGCAACTAGGTGCCTTGGTTTAGGATCACCAACCGATCACCCTCATCCTTACAGTGAAGTACAAGGTAGTTGGAGTGGTGCTGCAAGCTGCTTGAGGGATCAATGAAGATTAACGAGAGTTTGAAGTTTCTATGGGTGAACATGAGAAGAACCGAAAATCTTTGCAAACAAATAACGACGACGACAATAAGCCAAGTGTCTCGAACCACATGCCAGTAACCTCACCGTTTTCAAGGAGTGAAACCGGGGGGGGGGGTGGGGAACCTCCATAGAATACTGAATCGCCGTAGAAGAAGAAATCCCAGTAACATAACCAATATCACCAGCATAAAATGATCAAGGCACCAAGAGACCATATACTCATGAAAGAGTAGCAAGATAGGATCGCCTTAGGTTCAGAGAGAAAGAAGCTCCCTCTTCACGCTGCAGAGTATTCAAAATCCGTCCGATTTATACTTTTTCGCATGGGACGGATAATTAAAAACAACAACAACGATGATTGGGTTGAGTGGAAAAATTATTCTTTTTAAATAACATTGAGATTCAAATTTTATGAATAAATAAAAATAATTTAAAATTGAGAATATTTAAATGTAACACTTTTTTTGCTAAATATATGTATTCTCCTGTTTGAGACACTAAATGTATGTGTTTTTTTAATAGGTATTCAAATCTTGGTTGAATATAGATGTATTAAATTAAAAAAAAAATAAAAAAAATAAAAAAACAGAGTAGGACATGAACTGGCAGATCCTTTAACACTGGGCTCCAAATCTGCACCGGTTGAAGCCCACAGATCCAAAAGAAGAGCGTATCTATCAGGTTGAAGAGAGAAAATGAGCGGTTGTTATTCTGTTCATGGGTCCAAGCCGCGGTTGAGGGTCAGACTTTGACCCCTCCTAAAGCCGAATGCCAATCCCAATCGCTGAATTTTAAACGCAACGCAGCTTTGCTCCACTTGCGTCCAGCTGGAAATTTCCCCTGATTTTTCCGTTTCTTTTTTTTCTTTCTTTCTTTTGTTCTTTTATAATATTTCCATCGATGGGATTTTATTTTATTTTATTTTTTGGACGGAACCATCGATGGGATTGGAATGGAAGGATCTTGGTTTTCCTCTTTCCACGGAAGCGGAAAAAAAAATATATATCGCCTGATATTTACGTCTTTTCCAAACAAGCCCGATGTTTTATACACATTTAATATTTATAGTGGCTGCGTTCCTTTTGATCCTTCGACGACGAGAACACTTCGATTGGCTTTGCAGTACAATCATCTACTCCTGTTGTTCATCACTCGCTCTCCGCCAGTGATATGACGACCTGTGTATCTTGTAGTGGGTCTTCGCTCATTCCGGCCACTCTGGCTGGTAAAAGCTTCCTATTCGCGGGAAAATTGCCGGTTCCTATCGTACCAGCTAATTCAAGGTCCCGCCCCGTTAGGAATTGCGGCATCCGTGCGTCTATGGTGGACTCCTCCTCCGATTTCATTAAGCGCATGGAAAGAGCCTGGTTGATCTCTCAGGTTTGCTTTCTCCTTCTCTTTCACTTATATCAGCTTGTGTGATTGAGGTTTTTAAAGTTTGTGAACTTCGCGTGCTGGTAATATTTGACCGAAGTTAGCACTCTGAAAAAATTAGAGCTTTCTGAGGCTCCCAGTTTTGGGTATGCTACCGTACACTCGTAGTGTCAGTTATATATGAATCATTGTATGAACAACAAACACCATCAATATGGTTCAGTTTTTATCCTCACTACCCGGGCAAGTAGGCCTTTTATGCTTTCTCCAAACCCAATTTTCATGTTTCCGTTTTACTCTTTTGCACAATTGAATAATATGTGAATTTTGCGAAGAAATTGAGTGTATGAGCACACCTTATGGTGAGGAAAATTCTGTGCCTCAGAATATGATTCAAATGGACCACAATGAAACGCAAATTGTTTTCTCGGTTCTTCTGGACATTGCCAAACACTGTTGCATTTGCATCATTTCTGTTCTCTAGGTACATTTCATGTCTTCTGGATGTTGACTTAATTCTATCTAAAATTGCAATTATAAAGCATTAAGAAAGCTTGTCTTGTCTATTATATGCACATTGTAATATGCTCCCTCTTTGGGAACTTGGGTCTCACGTTATCTAAAGATAATCTGTAAGTTTATATGTTTGTTTAATGTGCTGGATTTGGCTGGACAGTCAAAATCAGGGGTACTGAATGCGTGGTTTTGGACTTTTGGGTGATCATGATCATAGCTTTCTCTGCTTGTATTATACAATCTTGTACAAGTTGCACGCCCTCCGGTTCAATTCTCTTCTTCTTTGAGTTTTTACACATGCATTAAAAGACCATTTTTTAAATGTAAAATAATACTCTACGTGGATTAAAAATCGCTGCAGTACAGAGGAAAATTTTTTTTTAATGAAAGATCGTTTTTCATCGTGCAACCTAATTAGAAGCCGACTCAAACTGCGCTGAGGACAATAAATTGAGTCATATTTTGATTGGATCTGACTGATTGGTTTTGCTGCTCTGGAGATCTACCGTCCGGAGCAGTCTAAATACTTTCTTATCTCTATGGTGGTCCTTGATTTTTCCAACATTTATTTTGCATGCAGCAACCAAGGCCAATTGTGTGTTCATCTTGCGACTCAAAAGGACACATCGAATGCAAATGGTGTGGTGGTACCGGGTTCTTCATTCTTGGCGATAACATGCTTTGCGAAGTTCCATCCAAAAACACAAGCTGTGTTATTTGCTCTGGAAAGGTACTTCTATGATAAAGGATTGTTGCTTAATTCCCCAACACAACTTTTCTTCTTAATATTGTTTTCTCCTTGTACTTGCTTTACGTGCCCATTTTCAAGATTTGTCATGTTTACTATCTGTCCTTCAGGGATCAACGTGCTGCTCTGATTGTCAAGGCACGGGGTTTCGTGCAAAATGGTTGGAGGAACCTCCTGCTCCCAAAGAGCAGAACTAATACTCAGAAACAATGGACTACGGCTGTGAAGTTGTAAAGTAACACATAGTATTCGTGGTAACCTTTTGTCTTGTGGATTCTGTGGCCAACTGACGACAACGCAGCGGCTTCAACAGTGTACAACTTCTACAGTAAAAGAACTTTGTTCAGGTTCCACGAGGCTGACATGTTTCTTGAAGCAGTCAATTGGTCTAGTTTTCGTTCATTCTTGTTAAATATTGGAATTTGCATTGTTTTGCAAAATTTGACATGATAGGGCAGTGTTGGGGTCTGTTGGGGCTAGTTGTACAAGAGATTTTCTTTCAGCGTGTAGATGCTTATGGAATTGAGTTAAAATTTGCAAAGATATAACCTTTCTCCTGAGTCTTGAATAATCCTTCCGACATCCTCTGCAAATTTTAAACTCTCAACATCCATATACCCGTGTCTGACTTTTTTTTTTTTAAGCTAGCTGTACAAGAGATTTTCTTTCAGCATGTAAATGCGTAGATAAATTTGAGTTAAAATTTGCAAAGATATATTCTTTTCCCTGAATAATCCTTCTGACATCCTCTACAAATTATAAACTAAAACTAACAACCCCATGCGCTGCCCTGAGTCCACAAACAATATTATAGAACCCAGATATAATTTAATCCATAACAACCTTATCTGTCTCAATAAAATTTACCTTCATTTTCATTTTTATCCTTAAAATTTATTTCTTTTGAGTAACTTCTTATAGAACCTGAATATTAACCCCTATAGCATTCTTTTAGGAGGGCATAACTTCTAATCCTTTCTTATAGTTAGGTGTAATACAAGAGAGTTAAAGATAGGGTGGTAAATAACCATATATCATTTCCACAAAACTATCAACTGTGAGAAGCATAAAAGCGTAACGAGATTTGTAACATTAATCCCTCAGAGTCTCCTGTGTGTCCTAATGAAATTTGTAGTATTCATTGCGATGGCGGTTGAACATGCATAGGCTCCAGCTGAGCATATGGACGCAGATACCAACAGAAGTGCCTTCCACTGCCTCCCAGTCGCCAGGATTGCCAATGCAACCATTGCAATAGCCACAGCTGAGAGTGCATTCTTCCAAGTCTGGAAAGCTTTGACGACACTTCTGCACGCTTTGCAATGTATTACATGCCTGAAATATCTATTAGCCAAGTTTGGAGCATGCATGCTTCCAATGCCTCCCTTAGCAGGCAAAGAAGCCGAGAGTCCGGCGACAAGTCCGGCAGGGGCGTGTTCAACCACAGCAGGCTCCTTGGGCAGTGAAATGGTGCTGTGACCAAAATGGTATGGCATGCCATGTCCTGCTCTGTCCATCCACTTCCTGTATTCAGCAACCCATGTGTCTGAAGATTTCAGATTAAGGTACAGTTCCTTTGTTGGGACCTTTTCTTTCAATAGAATCTCATTTTGAGACGACAAGAATCCCATGTCTTGCTCAAACACCTTGCTTGCATTCTGATGGAAGTACCATTCAGGGAACAGTTTTGCTAGTGGGGATCTTTTAGTTGTTCCAAACCTTACTATCAGCAAGGATTTCCCTTGCCCCGTTGGCGTACACAGGAAGAGGCCTGTAAAGTAGTGCTTCTCACCATTTTTGTCCACAATTTCCCTGTTATTTTGGAGAACACAAGGAGCTTCAAACCGTAAAAAGTTTGGCATAGACCCATCTTTCTCTTTCCCCCACCAACCTGCAAATCCTCTTTCAGTGCGTTCAGTCACCTTAAAAGACAGTGGCTGCGCATCTTCTCTTTTAGCAGTCCAATCTGTTCTATCATGTGAGATGGGGATGTGAGCAGGATCCATCAGGTTTTCCAGCAGTATGGAGTGATCATAAGGAAGTTCATGAGTTGTGGACACATCTTGAAACCCTGGCCTAGCAAAGTTCTCAAACCATGGTAGCTTAGTAACATTAGAAGGAGTCTTTCGAGACATCCACACCCACACCACTCCTTGAGAGTCCCTGATCTCGTACGTTTTAACACAAGCTGAACGAGGGATTTTGGCATCAGCTGGAAGCTATAGAAATATTGTAGTTAGTGACATCTTATACCATCAATTTCAGAAGCGACTGGGGCAAAATATGAGCATTGAAGATAGGTGAAACAGACCTGAGGTATCTTCACACATTTCCCTTCGCCTTCAAACTGCCAACCATGGTATAGGCACTCAAGCCTACCATCAACCAATTGGCCCTCAGATAGTTTGGCTAACCTGAATCAAACAACTACTGAGGCTCTCAAGTTGCTAACCCAATTTCAATTTCTAAGTAATTAATTGAATTTAGTCTCTAAAAATTCTTAAATCGATATAGTGAATAAACAAATTGGGAAGCTTCAATGGCTAAATAGTTTATGCATGAATCTTTCAGGAACAGAACCTGGTTTTATATCTTAATTACGCAATTACCTGTGTGGGCAACGATCTTCGTAACAGTGAAGTTCGCCATTCCCGTCCTTGAACAATACGAGCTGCTTATCAAACACTTTGAGACCTAGAGGCGCATCGTCGGGCACATTTTGAGTGAGATACAGGGGGTACCATTCTTCGGTCCAGTCGTAATCCGCAACGTCCCGATCACCTCTAAGCTCTTCCTGGCTGGAAGGACCCACAAGAACCTTGTGATCTTCCTCGTCTTTGTGATCAAGCGAAGGTGCATCTTTCACATCTGCGATGGCGCCACACCTTGCATGCCTCCCCCTCGCTGATAATTGTTTGAAGGGCTGTGATGAGAGAGAGCAAAGAAGTACCGGTGGCGAATTCTGCTTCGATGGCCGGTGGGAAAGACGAAAAACCAGAGAAGTTTGAAACGGGTTCACCAAAGCCATGATTGGCTGGGTTCGGAAACTGAAGAAGGAAGATGGAGGAGAGAAATTGCCAGAGGCTGGTAAGAGTAAAGAAATTAGTCAATTGTTGTGACCGAACCAAAGAGGGAAGAGAAGAAGGACGGGACTTTGTCATCATTTGGTAGTAGTTTGTTCGGAGGATACTTGTGCAATTCCTGGCCACACAACCTGAGGCCCGAAACAATCACACCGCTACGTATGAATACTTCGATTTTAGAGTTTTTTTGGGGGCCAAACACTTTGCTTATAGAGATGATTGACGTGCACTGGACAATCTCTCCGAGCATTATCGATCCAGTTTTGGTGTTTTAGAGAAAGCAACCGTGGCTGTATTACAATTTTACAGCCTGCAATCAAAGAAAAGATAAATCTGGTCAACGAGAAAATGAAAGGGAATATGAGTGTGCCGTAAGGCGTTCTAAAATTCAGGAACTTTTTAAGTAGATGATTGATTAAACTTAACTCGTATCTTGAACTTGCTAAATAAATTCGTCGAAAAATAAGATCAAAAGGGAATATAAATATCTTGTAAAATGTCCTGGAGTTGACAATCAAAATAAAAACATTAACTCAAGATGTAGTATGCCTTCTATCACCTTAATTACTCGAACGTAAATTGGGGTGTGAGTTTAGAAGAGAAAAAGAGAGGGAGGGCCTCAGCTGAGCAAGTGCATGCACTTCTTTTCCTTTTTCAGTAAACTGCGAGAATCTATTTCCTCCTTTTTCTGGGCTGTCTCCGCATCTCCGATGATTATATTTGAGGCTAGCTGGATCTCCATTAAGATCAACGGGTTATAGATTCAGAAGTGGGCAGTGCATTTTTTGAAGGAAAAAATTGTTTGGGGATGTTCTTTAAGAAGCCACCCTAACCTTCCTTGCAAGTTGTATTATCAACTGCTGAGTACAGTGGAACTATAAAGGATGGCGACTGCCATCATTTTCTACTACCCTGCAGTTTCAGTTATCAGACACAGCGAACTTGTTCCTGGTATCAAATTTACTGCTCTTCGTTTCACTGATCTTGTACTGTACGGTTTCTCCTCTGTGTTCTATTTATTGACATTGTCAACAGCCAGCCCAGTTTAATCTTTTTCTTTCATTTAGCCTTACCTTTCTGTTCAGTGTATAAAGTAGTATGATTTTCCATGAAGTTTATTTTCTTAGGGTTTGATTTCATTTGGCTTGCAGATTTGTGCTTCCACACCTAATACATATTCCACTTGTCCCATTTTTCTGGGCAACCTAAAAACACCAATAACATCTAGTCATAAATATCCCATGGCTCTGCTGCATCAACTGTGAAATAATGACAGCTCGGGCGCTTCTCTTTCCTCCTAATAACTTTTTACTGCGTTTTAATATTTATCTTTCTTGGTAATGTGGATTGCCAAATGGGGGGGCTTCTATGGTTAAGGATGGGTCCTGAAAGCGCATTTGAATAAGACACCAAATATTAAAACCAATTAAATGAAAGAAAACAGTAGTAGCACTAATAGAGCTGGGAACAAGGAACTTAAATGCTTGCTGAAGGAGTTAAACATTGATAGGCTAGAGGGAAATTGCATGACCAAAACCCCATCTACCTCCTGACATCACCGAACCACATAAATGTAGCTTTTAATACACACGGCTTCATTGCCACCTCCTCTTTTGTTTTATCTTTCCCATTATAATCAAGTAACAAGAGACTCCATGCTCTATGTAAATGCTACGCTTCAAGTCTAAGAACGACTAGACTAAATGGAGCCGAGGGCAATAGTTTTTTCCACGGCAGTTTTCCTTGTTTTCAGCTTGTTTATTGCAGGCTCCGTTTCAGGCAACCTCTCTTACAACTTCTATGCTGCTTCATGCCCTTCTGCAGAGTTCATTGTAAGAAACACTGTCCGTTCTTTCTCTTCTGACGATCCCTCCATTCCCGGAAAGCTCCTTCGCTTGGTCTTCCATGATTGCTTCGTGGAGGTTAGTGTTCCTATGCCATTCCCTTACAAACCCTTGTATTAAGGTTTCTTGGAAATAAAGAATTTTCTTCTGTCTGTTTTAATTTGATTGCAAAAAATGAAAATGTAAAGAATACTCAAACGGATTTGAAGCTGAGATAACCTCAGGGTTACGTGCAATGGAACTGCAAGCTAATCGAGACTGTGCACTAAGTGTTGGCTTTTCTGTTCAATCATGGCTCATAGTGGCCACAGACATCCCTCCTCAGTGCAAATGATTGGTTCACGATATGCAGGGATGTGATGCATCGTTGACGTTGCAAGGGAACAATACAGAGCAAAGTGATCCAGCAAACAGGTCAGTGGGAGGATTTTCAGTGATAGATTCAGCAAAAAGAGTGCTTGAGATTTTCTGCCCAGGAACCGTTTCTTGTGCTGACATAATTGCTCTGGCGGCGAGAGATGCCGTTGAAGCTGTAAGTTTTCTTATTCCCTCACCGCAATGCTGTTAAATGTTCAATCTTCAGTAAGCACAATAAAGTTCTGGTATGAGTGATATGGAACTGGAGAACAGGTTGGTGGACCCGTAGTTGAGATTCCCACGGGCAGGAGAGATGGGATGGTTTCACTGGCTTCCAATGTCAGACCCAACATTGTTGACACCAGTTTTACAATGGATGAGATGGTCAAGCTCTTCTTCTCCAAGGGATTGTCCCTTGACGACCTTGTCATTCTTTCAGGTTATCACTATTATTAATCTTCATTTCTTTCACTCTCAATCGTTTCCCCCTTCCTTTGATTATTGACAATATATGGGTGCATGTATCTGCAAATATTGGTTTTGGCTCTGATTAGTGGAAGTTTATTAACGGTAAGTTTTGCAGGGGCTCATACCATAGGATCAGCCCACTGCATCTCTTTTAGGGACAGGTTCCAACAAGACTCAAAAGGGAGGCTTAGGCTGGTTGGCAATGACCTTGACAGTAGTTATGCAAATGAACTGATGAGAGAGTGTGGATCAAATTCAAACCCATCTGTAACAGTTAACAATGATCCTGAAACATCTATGGTGTTTGACAACCAGTATTACCGGAATCTGCTGGCTCACAAGGGTCTGTTCCAGTCGGATTCTGTTCTGCTGAGTGATAACCAAACAAGGAAATTAGTGGACGATCTGGCAAATGACCAGGAACTTTTCTTTCAGAAATGGAGCCAATCATTCCTGAAGCTGACCATTGTTGGAGTGAAAACAGATGAAGAGGGTGAGATTCGACGATCTTGTGAAGCTACTAATGCATAAATTGGTGGATTGATTTGTCCATTCTTTGTTTGTTAGCGTGGGATGTTTTTCATTGCAGAAAGTCTAGCATGTGAGACACTCACTGTTTCTGAAATAACGGGACCTAGAATAATGTTTGTCACCTCTATAACAATCCTTATATTCTCTGATTTCATCTGAAACAAAATTAAAATGGAGCGAGTGAGATTGGAAGCTTATGGAATCTGACGTCATTGTCACTGGGATATCTTTGAATATACATGGACGTTTAAGTGAACATTCGTATTTGTTAAGGAACAAGATAAGGCAACCTCACGAGATTGATGATTACCGCTGCCACCGTTTATTGCTTAATTTCCAGCTCACGAACATCTCAGGACTACTGGTTTCCAACACTTAACTTCGATACAAACACAAAAATGCAGGAAAAGTGGAAATTTTAACTCTTTCAGTTTTGTGCGCCAAAAGCAGGGGATGGCTAGGCTATCCAAAAAATATACTCATTTGACCTCTCTTTCTTCTGTACAGTTATTTTATTTTCATATATAAGAAAGCACATCTGTATACCCGACACAATAATCATACTGGAACTCTCACAATTCGTCAGTTTCATCACATGGACATATTCATCTTGGTGTTTTGGTAGCTGGCATAAAACTAGTTCTTGATCTTCTAGAGCTAAAATCATAACTCTATGGCTAAAGTGTAATAAATTCACACTCTTTTCGGTGACTTTCTAGTTGAATGAATTAATATATCAACATACAGAAACTTAAGTGATTGGAATTCCAGAAGCACACCTCATAGAGAGAGAGATAGAGAGAATTCCTCTCAATCATTGCCTTCACCAACCAAAAGGGAGATACATGGAATTTAACACAAAAGACAATAGCTAAAGAAAACTGATTTAATAATCAACAGATTTGGAGAATTGACAAAATTCCTTCACATGATCATCAGAGTTACAATCTGATCAATGTCGATGCAGTCACTGCTTGAAATGGTAAGTGATGCAATCAAATACTATAATAGAACCGCGAGTAGTTAAGAGTCCGAGGACTTACGAACTCTCGAAGGAATGACCGAGCAGAAATTTTCGGCAGACTATGAAACGATCCTTTCAAATGAACTATATCGAGTAAAGATTTCCTACAAGAGCAATCCGAGGTTCACCAAACTTAATGTTCAATGAATCAATCTGTTGGTGTTGGTCATTGAATCTTTTTTCCTTGGGGTTGTCTGAAGTTCGCTAATTTATAAAGCGAATATACCTACAATCAAAATGAGGGGAGAAATTACAGCTATGCATGATGAATGAAATAAAGTGGGGAGGGAAGAAAACTGAGGGGTACCAATGCAATGACATGAACTGCTACGAGAAAAAGCACTGCAACAGTAACTGTGTCGGCGAACCATGATGGCGACGACGAGTAATGCTCTCTCACCATTCTACTCAGAAATTCGTTAATACCGCAGACGGCGGAGATGCCTGGTTAAGTTTTCTTTCAGATCTTCTTTGGCCGGCAGTTTTCTTTCAGATCTACTGCTTTGTTTTCTTTTTCATTTGAAAAAATAATTTTAAGCTCCTTTACCCGTTCAAAGTTATTGAACTTCCTCCCAAAAATGACCTTTTTTTCCTCTGATCTGATTATGTTGTTGGCATAGAACTCATTTTACACATCGAATTTTATAGTATGAGTGAAAATATGAACATTTAGCTCAGGCCTCAGGATTTTTCGCGAAATGGTACTCCTAAGTTAATAACTTACATCGCTTAGTAAGGAAGTGTGTCTCGTTGACTCACTAAATTAGCACCCAAAAAAAAAAAAGACTCACTATGAGAGTTTTAAATCGTTTTTCTTTTCATTGAAAAAATAATTATGGCGTTTCTTTCTAGACAAATGGGCTGATGAGCCCAGTATAAATATGGACTTAAGAGAGGGGCCCCACCTCCCGGGTCTAAAAACAGTCCCGGATGATGGATCCTGAGGCTGTTGCGAGAGGAGTCGGGTAATTTATCAAAAATTTCATCCAAGCCTAATTTCTTTTATATTCTCATCATTTTATGATGCATGTAAATAATGTTCGACAAAGTTAACTGGGCAATGTCAAGTTCATAAAATGAAATACTTATGTCATGACTGAAATAAAACTTAAAAAAATGAATATATGTAATATGGCAAAAAAAAAAAAAAACAACAACAACAGACAAGACAAATTGTTTTGGCGAGGACCGACTTTGCGAAGCTTACGAGATTTCTGAAGTTAGGATTGGATCCTCCCAACTTTTGCGCTGGACTTCGAATTGGGTTCATTTTACTTGGTCAAATTTTTTAGGCAAGCAATTATGCGTGGAATTTATTCATGAAAATTAAAAGAGTGTACTTCTAATTTAAGCACCGAAGCAATTTTAGAATTTCCTTCTTCTTTTAACTGGGGAATGGGGTTTTTGGGATTTTATTCTCTGTGCCAAAACCTGGGCATGGTTGCCTAAATTATACTTTAGAGAAAATTTCAATCAAGGAGCGTTATAGCAAATTTATTTCAATCAGCCCCCAAAACAATCTGAAACTTCACCGCAAGACCTGGGGGTAGTGAAATTAATTGGACAAAGAAAAAAAAAGCAAATATCCCTGTTAACTTTTGCTCCTGAAATTGAACAGAAGAGGACCAAAAATCAAGATAAACTTTCATCATACTCTTCCCTCTCTTGCATGCTCTTTCCTTTTGCATCTTAGAACTCGCCATCCGTCTACTGATTGTGGTGCTCTGAAAAGTCACAGAAATCATCCAAAGAAGATTCATTTTCATTTGTTGTGCTGGTTCTGTCACTCTTAAAACTCGCATATGGATCTATTATTAGGCTTTAATGAATTTGTTATTGTTCGAATATGAAAAGTCTCTGTTCTTTGAGATACTTGATTGTGGTTGTTATAGTAATAGTGGGTATTTTGTCTGGCATATTTGTAAGTCTGATAATCCTGTTACTTGAATGGGTGCTGTGAAAGCTAAATCTGTAGAAAAAATGATAACTTGATGTTGCTAAAATATGTATTCGCATTATAAATTTGTAAATTCAAGTTGTCTAGGAAAATGGCAATTTGTGTTGTGAAAACCTGTATATCTGTTGCCAATTCACAAATTTCTATTGTAAACATATATAGTTAGGATATTAACAATAACAATTAGTGACTTTACAGCATGATATTATGGAATTTTGCCTATCATAAGCAAGAATGGTGCAAGAACATAGAGCATGGCAATTAGAGAAACACTTGAACCAAGTTCTGGAATATGAAGTCAGTTGCTATTGCAAAACTACTTCAACAGATAAAGACACAACAGAAAAGAAAGCGATGACATGGCAAATTGTTGAATTTTCTGTTTGACATGTAATTTAAGTTACTTGAAACTATGTTAAAAGTTGTGAATAGATAATTTGAACAATTTTCTTTTTAGGAAATATATTATGAGTATGTTGCAAGTTAATTAATTGTAATCTTTAGTCTTTTCTTACCAATTTACGAGTGTGTGATATATTATTCACAATTGGAATTAGAAAATATGCAATATGAATAAGTTAATTTGTTAGAGAAACTCATCCATTTGCAAATAAGCTAATATAACTAAAAAGTTGAACATGATAATATAACAAGTCTGGAGAGATTATTCACAAGTGAAATTAGAAAATTTACAACACGGATGTGTACATTAACAACAAGAACTCGTCTATTTACAAATAAACTAATATGATTAAAAAAGTTGGACATGTTGATTCACAAGTCTGAGAGGACTTAATTGAACTAAAATTATAAAAATTGCAATATGCATACATATATTAACAATAACAATATGTCCATCTACAAGTGAGGTAATTGAATCGAGGAAGTTGAACATGATTCACAAGTCTAGGAAAGCCTGTTTGTAACTAGAATTAGGAAATTTGCAACACGTATATGTATATTAACAACAATATGTCTATTTGCAAGCGAGCTGGTTGAATTGAAGAGGTTGAACAATTTAAGAGTTTGAGAGGACTTATTTGCATCTGAAATTAGGAAATTTGTAACAAAAATACATATATTAATGATAAAAACATGACCACTTGCAAATGAACTAGTTAAATTGACAAATTGATTATAAGTTTGGAAGCGAGTGTTCATTCATAACTAGAAATAGAGAATTTACAACAAAAATACATATATTGACAATAAGAATATGTCTATTTGCAAGTGAGTTAGTTGAATTGACAAGTTGATTATAAGTCTAGGAGCAAGTGTTCATTCACAACCAAAATAAAGAAATTTGCAACAAGAATATATGTATTACCACCAGTTACATCGTCTTCCATTTACAAGTGGAGTATTTAAAATAAAAAGTTTATGCACAAGTCTGGATGTTTCATTCATAACTGGAATTAGGCAATTTGCAACAGGGATACATGTGTTAATAATAGAAATACATCTATTCATAAGTGGATAAAGATTTTCATACATTTACATTACTGTCAGCCAATTTCAGTGCAGTGTTGAGGATGGCTTATTGTCCAGTACCATCATGACATTTTTCAACTAGCACATCACTATGCAAAATAGATTCCAATTCACCACCAAAAATATTAAATGGGTTCTCATAGCTACTTCTTCAATCAATCCAAAAATACATATCGAGATTCATTCATGTGCAAAAGCGGCTCTATATTAAACCAGAAAAGACTATTTTCGACAATAAAGTCACACAGGGTTCAAGGACAAGTCTTTCTAGCATGACCAGTTTCACTACATCTTAGGCAATGATATACTTTCTTCTACTAGAATTGTGATTCAATCCTCCTAGTTCTAAGTCTTTTAGGATGGCGAGTAGTCAATGGTGATTGCAGTTCTTCACAACTTCACTTCCCACATGGGAGATGCAAATTAATTGTTTTCCACTACTGCTAGCCTTTTGTTATCTGTAGCTGCATATCATTCAAGTATCAATTTCAATCAACTTTCAATAATTAAACATAGTGTATACTTATAACAGAAATTTGCGAATTAGCAACAGATATACAAGTTTTCACAACACGAATTGTCATTTTCCTAGACAACTCGAATTTACAAATTTATAATACAAATACATATTTTAGCAACATCAAATTATCATTTTTCTGTAGATTTAACTTTCACAGCACACATTCAAGCAACAGGATTCTCAGACTTACAAATATACCAAACAAAATACCTACTATTACTATAACAAGCAACAATCAAGTATCTCACAGAACAGAAAATTTTCATATTTGAAAAATAATAGATCCATTCAAGCTTAATAACAGATCCATATGTGAGTTTTGAGAGCGAGAGAACCAGCACAACGAACGACAATGAATCTCCTTTGGACAATTTTTGCGACTTTTTAGAATGCCACAACCAGTAGACAGATGGCGAGTTCTGATGTGCAAAAGGAAAGAGCATGCGAGAGAGATTTCAGTGTGAGAAAGGAAAGAGTATGATGAAAGTTTATTCTAATTTTCAGTCCTGTTTTGTTTAATTTTAGGAGCAAAAGTTAACAGGGATATTTGTGTCTTTTTTTTTTTGTCCAATTAATTTCACTTTCCCCCTTAGGTCCTGTAGTAAAATTTCATATTGTTTGGGGGCTGATTAAAATAAATTTGCTACAGCAGTCTTTGACTGAAATTTTCCCTATATTTTATTTGATCTCACTTTCTTCACTCTGATCTGTATACCCATTACAATAATCATCCTGGGATTCCCGGAATCTACACATGTTCGCCATCAATTTCACACGGACACGTTCATCTTAAGCTCGCATAAAACTAGTCCCATCTCATTAGAAAAAAGCCAAAATCGTGACAACGGGTCTGCTAAAGCGTACTATGGGTGTGTTTGGATGAAACCAAACCGTGGTTTGGAAAAGTGATTCTGGAAAATAGATTCTGAGGAAAATAGATTTTGTGAAGAATAGATTTTGTAAAAAAGTGATTCTGAGAAGTGAGAGTGTTTGGATAGTTGTTATCAGGAGCACTTTTTATATATACAAATTACTAAAAAAAAGACATAAGTTAATATGATAATTACAGAAAAAATAGATTTTATGATATATTTTAATTTGAAGGAATAAAATTGTTAATAATATGTTTTTTTACCAACATAATTAATAATACATAAGATAATATAATTAATAAATAATTAATGTGTATATATATTCTTTTCGCGGCCAACTTCATAACTCAATGAATTAATATATCAGCGCAAAAAAAGATGATAAATTTATCAAAGCTCGACAGTGCGATATTCACGGAGCACCACATGGCACGCCCACGTGCCCAAAGCACGCCTCGAACAGAAAAAGAAAAGGGGCGGGGGGGGGGGGAGGAAAGGAAAAGCAGATAATTTAAAAAACTCCCCCGTTACCTTCACCAACCAAACACGAGATTCATGGAATTCAATATCCTCGGCTTCTATTCATAAACTTCTAATTTAAAAAAATTGTATTCTATTTTACAAGTTTTAATTTAAGTTTACCTTAACGTTTAATGTATTTTTTAATGTTATCCTTAGTTATTTTTCTATTATTACATTTTCCCACACATTTTTAAAAATTTTTTTTAAGAACATATTTGAAAACAAAAGTATATTTTTAATCTATTTATTATCTTTAACTAATTTTAACTAATTATTTGTTATTTGTGAATTAGCTAATAATTACCAGAAAGAGTATAATACTACCAGCAACGATACGAATGCATGGGTAGCAAATGAAATATTCAAGCTGACTGCTCAAGAGCAATCCGAGGTTCACCAAACTCGATGAATCCGTTGTTCAGTGAATCTCTGTCTTCTTTGGGACTGTTTCACCATCGCTAACTGCATTTAAAAGTTAGAAGAGGGAAAAATTATCACTATGAATCATGCATGATGAATGAAACAATAAGGGGGAGACTTGAGATGGGTTAGGGATCATTTAAAGGGATTGAACTTTTTTATTAGGTTCTCGGTGTATGCAGACATTAGAATCTTACGCAGTTAAAAGTATATGTACAGTTGGTGGAAGTATGAATTTATCTCAGAACGAGAAGAAAAAAAAGAAATTTGAATTTGCGCGTATTAAGAATGAAGTAATTCCAGGGTAAGAAAGATTATTCTGAAACATGAGCACCAGATCCCAGCGTATCTCAAGTCCCAACAGCAGGCATCACTGCCCTTTCAGGTTGTGAAGTGGACAGCGTGGGAATAGACTAATATTCAAAGACAGGGAAGGGTGCATCAACAGAATAGGAAGGTTTTGAAAATTTTAAGTGGAGCTAAATTGAAGAGTATTCCATTTGTTGAGGACTGGGTTAAAAAATATAGAAACAAAAAGAAAAATTCATTCTCAATCCGCCCATGCAAGACTCAAATAATTTTTCAACAATAATTACGGCATAGCAACTCAACTAGTGAAATGAAAGAAAATGTCAACAACAATAATATAACAACTCATGTGCATAAGAAAAGGAAGAATAGAAGAAAATATAGAAGGAAAGAGAATGGGGGGAGGAGGAGGACTCAGAAACAGTGGAATGTCGGCAAGGCAATTGATATGCTCTTTACGCACGACGAGCGAACCAACTCATATCTTCATCGTCCTCCCCAACCCAATAAAACAGAACAAACCAGAACAAGGGATAGGAGGAGAGGGTATGAGCAGATTAGCAGTGCAAACCGAAGCACATTTAAATAGACCATTACTTCGTTGTTTTTTTAATAAGGAAATTAAAAAGGCGTCGTCTTATTATGCTGCCTGTAGCTGTATGCATGTGCATGCCTTGCTGTCCAAGTCACTGACCTACTCCCCCAAAATAGTGCCCTCCAAATTACTACCTCTGCTCCTTAATATAAGACCCTATTTAACTTTTATTTTAGTTCTAAATATAAGACCCTAATCCACTTTATCACTCATATTTACTCTTTTTTTTTAAAATAATTCTTCTAATAATTATAGTTCTAGTTAATACATTTGATTAGTAAGGATATTTTAGGAAATACAACACATATTTAGGACAAATAACTAACTCAATTTACTTCCTTAATCTCCTCAAATTAGCCTACTAGCTCTTATAATTAGGACCGGAGGTAGTATAAAATGAACAAGTTGGTCACGTTTCTGACGCTTTGGTCCCCTCCAGCCCGCCGCACCCCCCATTTTCTTCAGTCCTTTGTTTGGAGAGCAAGGCATGGAATAAATGAACATGACGTGTTTGACCTTTGAATTATGGGGTTTCTTGGGAGGCCCGATAGGCCGAATATCGGGTTCGTATCTTCATCTCCAAAGTCCAAATATTATTGGGCTTCTTGACCAGCAAGCCTCCCGCCAAACCCTGAATGCCACAATCCCCGTTTTCCTTCCATCCGCTTTATGTTCTCACTGGTAAACATGAAAATCACTTCTTAAGGCAATGCAAAATTGATAAAATTAAATAATTGTATTGTGATCTGATAAAATTGAAGGTTGCGAATGAGGGGAAAAAGAGAGGGAGAGCATATCCCGGACCCGAAGGCGGCGCTTGACTCGTGGAACTCACATATGTCATGCATGACTTATGTTTCAGTTTATTTGCAATTTATAGAAATTGTTGAGAGCCTTGTCGGGATGAGTCTTGGAACTTGAGCTGCGGTTTTCCTACCAAATTTGGGTCAAGTGAAGTTCGCTTGATTTGGTTCCGTGAGTTTCAGAGAAGCAATCCTGAGACGTGCTCGCTTTCTCTTTTCCTCCTCTCTTCACAAACTCATTCGCCCCCGCATTATTCATTTATTCAAAGTGCCATATTTCGCATCATACTCTTTTTATTTTTAATATAAGACCTATTTAACTAATTTGATTAGATTAAGAAAATTAGATAAGCTAGTTAATTATAAAAAATATGACAAGTTTTTCTTAAAACACCACAATCATCTTCTTTAATATCACCTCTCCTACTTCTACTTGATTGAGGGAGTATCCGGATAATTTAAAAAAAATTAATAACTATGAGAAATAAGTCTTTTATTTAAAACTAAAATTAATTCAACATGTCTGTATTATTATTTTATTTAGATAACTATTCCCAGTCATTGTCTTGTTCTCGGGATGTTGTGCGCCTTTGCTGGACTATGAACAGAGAACCAAAGAAAACTCTGCCCTCGCAGGGATCCGAACACAGAACGGATCCTGCGCACGCTACCTTCGTTCAACTTTACTCTTCTGTTACTATAATCTCTCTCTCTATATATATATAATTTCGTTCGGTTAAAGAATATAAAAAGACATGGCACACATCAACAACTCGTTTTTTGCTTCTCCTTATTATTATTTATTTAGAGGACCAACATGAATAAATCCCACTCACTGCATCTCATTTGAAAAAAAGAAAAACCTTTAATAGTCACTATAGAGCATAACTCTATTGTACTAACGCAGCGCAAAAATACTCTGCACTGTCAGGAATTGAGAATCCATTCATCTCCTTACTTCGTTTCTTTATTTGTTTAGGAAAATGTGAGAACTTTCTGTGTTTTCCAAAAGAAGAGGCAAACTTGAACCTCCAAAGATGCACATTACTGGCTGTAGTTAATGGTCAGCGCATGCAAAGTCAACAGTAAAAGCGACGCGGCCTTCCGCAGCCGTCCTGTCTATTACTCTCGTGAATTCATCCCATCAACTCCTCAAGGCCTCAGCTAATCCCCTGCGGTGCTCCTCCAATACAATCCATATCTCACACGTGTCGCCCACATTTTCACTCTCTGCTCTCATTTTATTTCAAACGCTGTGAAAGTTTCCCAGACTCGTAACTTCCTAACTCCTTCTTCCTCCTTCACAATGAGAATCTCAAAATCAGAAATAAGTTCTGCAATATGTGAAGAAACTAACACAAGTGATGACGCCTTATATATTCTAGTACTGCCATCTGGCTGTCCTCTGAGTGAAACATGGCTCGTCATTTATAAGTTCTTCTCGACTAGAATTTACACTTCCCGAATCATGGAAGACCAATAAGGTCGATGGCCCAAAACCCAGAAAACGGGCAAAATAAAAACAAGGAGAAGTAAAAATGGTCACAAATAATGAAGACAAATGTGATTCTCAATTTCTCACACTCCCTCGCGCTCAAATCTAAGATCTAAAACAAACAAGACCAAAAGGAGGAGGCAGGAAACTTGTCTTCATTGCTGGTTTTGTCGTTGCTCGTCTTGGTTACCTTGTTGATTTTCGCACTCCGTCTCCTTCTCCTGTTTCTCAGATCTCTCTTGAGCGTCGACACCAACCTTGCAAATTCCATCTCCCAGAGATGAAGCCTTAGAGCAGACAGGGGTGGCCAAGAATGTGGGATTCTCATCTCCAGCCATGATGACCAGAATCTTCTCCTCGAAGACGGTGACGGTTTCGTTGTTGGCAGAGTCACTCTGTTTCTGGACATCGCCGCTCTCCAGGTCTCGCTCGGACCCTTCTTCGCTTTGCAAGAAACCAGAAAGTTTCCAGTAAGAACAAGCCAAGATCAAAAGAGCAAAGGCTATGAGGCCCAGCATGGCAGCGAGCCCTCCGAAGAGGTAAGGAACCGGAGAGTGCCATGGAGAGCGTTGCACAGAGCTCAATGAAGAAGCACCAGGGGCCAGGGAACTTGAGGGACTGAAAGAGTTGGGAACAGTTCTCATTTCAGCTTTTTGGGTAGCTTTTACTGTGGGAGTAAAGAGAAAGTAGAGGATGGTTAGATGTAGGGGAAGAATGTGAATGTGAATGTGAAGTGAAGAAGAAGGGAGAGGAGAGGCAGGGTATTTATAAGGAGCGAGAAAGAAAGAAGTGTAGATGAAGATGATTGGACAGCCGTGCGATGCACGGGACACTTGTGTTGGCTTTTTTTGCACGGGACTTGGCAAAGGGGACAGAGCACAGGGTTACTTGAATAGGCAGCGGTAATAGTAACCAACCCTTGCGTTTGATCATGGGTTAGGTGGTGCTAATCTTGTGTTTTTGATTGGACTTAAAGCGTGGTGTGGGTCCCCTTCGCGGGATTTATTCCTTCTTCCCCTGATGATTTCAGTTACTGCTTTCACATCGTATGAGAATTTATAATTCTCATATATAACATTGATCATATACAAATACTAATTATAGTGATTCTTTTGCTTCAGAATATAACAAGTCAGAAAAAAAGGGTTAACTATATTCATGTTTCGCTGCAGAACGGAGGGCGATTGAAGACAGAAAGGGATGTTTTGCCTCTCAAATGTTGTCTGTTTGGCAATGAAATTTGGGAGTACTGCCTAAGAATATGAATGAGATGTGGTCATTCAAATTTGTGAGAGAAATGGCTTTTTGTCTGCACAAACGGGCATACCCAGAGACAGAGAGATCAGGGAGAAGATGTTAATGGCGGATGGAGACAGGATGATGTCACATGGGAACAATGTCATTTAGCTTTTAATCTGGTATTCGGGAAGAGTGGGGCTAGGATGAAGAAAATAAGGAGATGCAGAAAATGATAATATTGTTGCTTTATGAGATGCGCAGGCAAGGAAAGAGGCAGTGTTAATATTCTCAGACTCCACTAACACTGCCCAATAATGCGCATGGAAAGGAACGCTTGAGGGGAGATGATGTCATAATTATATTATTTTAGTAATTGAGGAACAATATTAAAATGACAGGGAAATTAGAGAGAGAGGGAGAGTAATCCACTGGGGAGGGGAGGGGAGGGGAGGGAGGAGGGGCACAGTGAAAGCGCACTAAGCGGGCGATGGCATAATGAAAAGAACGACACAAAAAAGATCAAGTAGGGTGATAAAAGAGAATACCAAGTGTGGGCAAAGTGGAAACAAAGCTAATACAGCTTTCCTTTTGTTTCATCATTTTGCATTCCCCTTTATCTGATTTAAAATGCAAACTTCATTTCATGTGGGGTTCCTATTCATTTGGGTGTGAGCTTCCTATAACTACACAACAATCATTAATTCACATCCCACATCCAATTGCTGTTCATTTTCACTCTTTTGCTTATGTGCTTTCACATCTGCACTGCTCCAATTAAATTCTTGATTTAATTGGTGGTGTAATAACATTATATTCCCATCCATTATATCCTCCCAAATCACACTCCTCAAATGCTGCTGTTATTCCCTCACCAAGTTACCACTTGAATTGTCACATATTGCTCCATGACTCACATCCACAACGCTGCAAGTCAATGGATCTTTGATGCCATATCTATGTGATGTACCACGTGAAAACAAGAACCGATTCATGGTTTATTAATTAAATTCATTTTAACAACAACTTTAGTCAGTTCCTTTTAATGTGTATGGTCCCCTTGTACTCTGAACAGACGTGGATGACTTTTTGACTAATCGGCATTAAACTCGCTCATGAAATTCACTTCGTCATTGGTAGTCAAAATATCGTTCCATATCATGCAAAACTGCTCCCATCTCTGTGAGGTGTTTAACAATTAATTGATTAATTTGAGTTAAGTCAATTATTTGTAATAAATAGTATTAAATTGTCTTTTTTAAAATACTCCTATTATTCATGTGTATTAATTAGAACTATTATTTGATAAAACATTTAACATGTGTAACTATTAGAGCGACTGTTTTAAAAAAAAAGATATAAATA